TAGCACTCTTTTATTTTTACATATATGTACTATAGAATTCTAGTCAATCCAAATCTCATCAAAATAAGTAATATCTACAAGATAGCTGCAGTATCGGAGATTCTGATTTCCGTATACCTGCGATGAATGCATGTCAATCAACTTTGAAACCACTATTTGAAGTTCTCTCATTTAGCTTAGGACAGGGGCTTGATATCACTTTGGCTAAGTAATTTAAGGGGGCGTGAGGGACGCACACCCTTAAAATTTTTAAAGTATGATATGATTAATATTATTAATGCCATACTTTGATACATATCTAACCAATGCCACTATTTTTGTTTCTGGTTTTACTATTAAATTACATGAAAACTCAGGAGCTTCCAGGGGCTTTGCCCCCTAGGCCCACCATTCAAATTGTGATATGACTAAAATTATTTCATGCCACACTCCCGTATTACATATCCTGTATTCGCCCATAGATATTACAAATTGAACATCTTAATATTTCCTTATATAACACACATGGTCTTAAGGCTTTGGAAATGGTTGTTGACAATATCTAGAATACTACAGAAAACTTATAGGTACTATATGCTGGTGCCCTCTCATTAAAACCGTCTGATGACCTTTCTTTTCTTTCTCTCTTTTTTTTAGCTCACCTGAGCCAAAGGCTCAAGTGAGCTTTTCTGATCAAAATTTGTTCGTTGTCTGTCGTTGTCGTCGTCGTCGTTGGCGTTGTTGTCGTTGTTGTAAACTTTTCACATTTTCATCTTCTTCTCAAGAACCACTGGACCAATTTAAACCAAACTTGCTACAAAGTATCCCTGGGCAAAGGGGATTCAAGTTTGTTCAAATGAAGGGCCACGCCCTTTTCCAAGGGGAGATAATTATGAATTAGAGAAAAATTAATGTTATTTTTAAAAAATCTTCTTCTCAGGAACCACTGGGCCAGGAATGATGAAACTCATATGGAATCATCCTCAGGTAGTGTAGATTCAAATTTGTTCAAATCATGACCCCCCTGGAGGATTAAAATTCAAGATCCCCCCCCCCTCAGTAAACTTTCAGTTCTGATCTGATGTGTGCTTTTTCCTAGCCAATTGCTCAGGTGAGCGATGTGGCCCCTGGGCCTCTTGTTTTTGCTTGTCTTAGAATTTCTGGAGTTGACCCCCCCACTTTTAAGTTTGTGACTACGCCTCTGCATAATTATAATACATTTGAACTAAACATGTCCTTTACAAATAGGAATTTAACATTTAATTTCCCAATTGTATATACAAATTTAATTCTTCACAGATGTATACAGATTCGCTTAATATCAACTTCTGTATTATGTATAGGTGGAGGACCTCCCTCAAAACCTTTAAGTGCTATAGGGGAAACAGTACAAATGGTGCTCGGGGAGAATAACTCCATTATAAGTGGGATTGACGGCGGCATAGACTCGTCACACATTCTTCAACTCCTGACAGATGAAAATGTTTGGTAAATAAAAGTAATGTTCTTCAGTTAATTTATATTATTTACTCAATTATAAATATTCAACTTTGTTGGAGAAATTAAAGATTTTAATTTTTTAAATATGGACTTCTCATCAATTGATAAAATCATTTGTTAAACTCAGCTGGGCCCTAGCAAAAATATTTGTTTTTGCATTCAGGCTAAAATTTTATATGGTTAAGATACTAATGAGGAAATGTTTATGCTTTAAAAGCCGTTATCATGTCTCCAATGGACATGAGACTTTTCTTTAAAAAAAAATAAACACCATGCATAATTATAAAAGTTGATTGTCTTTCTATTATTTCAGTTCTATTCAGTTTGCACAAGATGCAAGTACCAGCAATGCAGCATCAGCATCAACTAGCATTTTACCACTGTCCGTTGAGTTGTCATCACCTGCTCCTACATTGACATGTCCAGAGCCTGTGATAACCCAGAGCCTGAGGTCCCCATTGTTGCCCCACACAATATCCAGGGCACCAATAACGTCAAGAAAGACACCTCAAAGCACACAAGATCTAATTGGGGAGCTGACTGTTAAAAAGCTAAAATTAGAGATAGAGTATTTTGATTTGAAAGTAAAGACCCTCAAGCGTCAATTGGAAGAATGAAATTTTTGATAGTTTAATACATGTTGAAACAAAAAGGGAATACCAAACCAAAATGTTATATAAATGATTTTTTTTAAGTATCTGTTTTGGTTAATTCAGTTTTATTTTAATCTAAATTTGTTCAAATTTGATAATTAAGAATTTTCATTGAATTCAAAATGTCATTTATACAATTTTTTAAAAAAAAACATTGTTTTTATAACATAAATTTTCATTCTATTAAATTTTGTCAAGATTTTTTTTTCTTTACATAAATTAAAAAAAAGTATATTATCAAGTATTTTCTTTTAAATTTCTAAATATATAAATATAAAAGAGAAATAATTGTCAATTTATGTCTATTTCTCATATTATTGAATTAAATTGTTCCATTATACATTCATTAACAGCCAATTTTAAGCTCTAAAATGTCATTTGTCAACTTTTTTATTTGAAAAAAGGTAAAAAAAGCAATTTTCAAGATCCAACAACTAAAATTTTGATATGGTATTCCTCTTTAAAGACAGATTTACTTGCAAACTGAAATTGCCAAAATATAAAGAAAAGATTGTGTGTTAGATTTTGAATGATATTTATTGAGATACATTAATGTTTATCTGACCTTGATTAAGGCAGTATGAGCTGAATTATTTGTTATTACATGTTAAATTTTGTTCATGAATATTAAACCTTTATTGTTGATTTTGTAACGTTTGTTTATTTGTAAAGTCAGAAGTGAGTTGCAGCAAACTGCTGTCTGTACAATGTGTCATTAATGTTGTTGCCTCTAGCAGCACCATCATTTCTTGCTTGCACATGATGACCCTGAGCAGTATCGTCTCCACTATCTTCATCATCACTGGTATCATTGCTGTCATCATCATCAGGAATTGGAATTTGTCGATCTTTACAAATATTATGGAGGACTGCGCATGCCATCACAACTTGAAATGCCTCCTGAGGCGACATTCTTATCTCCCCATGCAGAACATGAAAGCGGCGTTTTAACTGGCCTATCCCTCTTTCAACAGTGCTCCTAGGCCTTTTGTGTGCACTGTAAATAATTAAAGCAGTTTTATGTCTCGTAGAAAATTTGATTTATATTGGCATATCATATTTGTATATTTTATTGCCAGTTTTTTTTTCACAGAATGCAACAGCAAAACAATTTGGTAATGCATGCATTTTTAAACCATTCTTTATGATTTATTTTTATAATTAGGAATGAATTTATATGGCTAAGTATACTTATAATGTAGTCTATAGCTCAATCATAGCATAAGCTGGTGCTTTTTAAGTCAGAAATATATAATAATCATGTTTTACAAGTTAGGGTTTAGGCCAGGAGGGTGATAATGAATCATACGTACTTGTTGTAATTTGTCTGTGGACCAGGCTGAGGAATTCTGAATGGTGTAAGTAGCCATCTACGAGATGAGTAGCCACTGTCACCCAACAAATGCGTATGAACAGGAATGTGACCATTTTCAAACAAGACTCGAAGCCCACTCTCATTTACGACGCGTGCATCGTGGGTCGAACCGGGCCATTTTGCAACAATGTCAATGAGTTTATATTGGGAATCAAACACAACTTGCACATTTAAACTGTGGTAATGATGTCTATTGACAAAATCATTCTCATTTTGTCTAGGTGCAATTATCTGAACATGGGTGCCATCTATGGCACCAACAATCCCAGGGAATCCTGCTATCTGAAAAAATCGTTCCTGGTTACGTCTGATTTCATCTGGTGATGTAGGGAAATTGATAAATCTACGCACCATTCGTACAGATGACAAACTTTTAATGGTACAAGATATTGCTCTAGAGACAGAAGATTGGGAAACTCCCATATCATCTCCATTACAAAGTTGCACCTTTCCAGTTGTTAGGAACCTCAGGGTTAACAGAATCTTTTCTCTAGATGTTAGTGCGTGGTTCCTTACGGACGCGGATCTTATTTCATTGCCTATTAATCCTTCAATAAAGTTTATCCCACCAGAATCAAGTCTGAACCTTTTAACCAATTCCATATCTGAATATTCATTGAAATAATCTCTTCTTTCCCTAAAATTCCTTCTTCGAGCAGCCATTTTGTTTAGAAATAAGAGAAAACTTAAAAAATACTTATTTACTTAAGAAATACTTACCTAATTAAGACACCTTCTAGGCAGACTTAACTTTAAATCAATACTTAAGCAGTAAGTATGTTTATGAATTACACTTTAGTATTTCTACCAAATTTAAGTAAAACTTAGGGAAATTAAGTAAATAAACATAATTTAAGTGGTTTATTTAAACTTAAGAATATACCAAGAAGTTTTATGAATTCCGCCCCAGGACATTTATATTTCACGTATGTGTTTTTTGTGGTAAGACCTTTCATTGGATACAAACATCCTTAACTTTTTGACCTTGACCTTTGAGATTTCCGTACCTATGAAAAAAATTTAACCTTGGCTATAACTTTTGAACAATAAGGACTACGACTTTCATACTTCACATATATAATCCTGATGAAAATATCTTTTATTGGATACCAAGAACCTTGACCCTTTGACCTTGACCTTGGAGTTTGACCTACATTGAACATAATTTTTGAAGGGTTCGGGCTAGGGCATTCATACTTCGCAAATTTAATCTTTGTTGCAAGACCTTTCATTTGATATCAAGAACTTTGACCCTTTGACCTTGACCTGGAGTTTGACTTACTTTTTACAAACTTTAACTTTGACCATAACTTTTGAACGGTAAGGGCCAGCGCTTTCATACTTCCCATACGTAATCTTTGAGACAAAGCCTTTCTTTAGAATCCAACAACCCTGACCCTTTGACCTTGAAACGGAGTTTGTCCTATATTATAAAATGTTAACCTTGGTCATAACCCTGGAACAGGTGTAGCTACGTTTAATATTTCGCATTTCTTGTGAAAAGGTCTTACTTTGTTACCAACATATTTGATCTGCATTTGAGAATTAAAGCTTAACCTTCGCTATGCTGCCATACGGGGGCATCAGTGTTTCACAAACACTTCTTGTTCTTTTAATTTTACTCACGAAAAAATTCTAAATCTGTTGGAAAATATCAAAGCATTGCCAACACGCTATGAACAGCTAATGCTTTTGCGCTGTCGTAACAAGGTAAGCTGTTGCGAGGGTCTCTGTCTACATCATAATTATAAATTATGCCTTTACTGAAACGTTTTGATCATTTTAATACTTTCCAGGCTACGGACATTCCTTCGGCCTTCACAGGAGTTGATCACCCGACGGATCCAATTCAATTAATCCCCATTGAAATTTTTAACTTCTTATTTATTTCTTAAAAAGAGACAGTTAGAAAACAGGGTAACTATATCATTTGAACATGTTCTCGAAAAATCAAAAGGAAAGAAAATGATTAATTTAGAACAAATATTCTATTTTCAACGTTAATCAAGCATGGAAAAACAAGATAGGAAGGAGGAAATAAATTGAAGAAAACGTGGTTAAAAGAAAACCAAGATAAAAAGGGACTAATAAAAAGGAAGAACAATATATAAAAATAGTAAAAAATAACCTATCAGAATCCTTCTTTGAACATTTTTTATTATGGCATGTCCAAGATACAGTTGGGAAAAATTGTACAGGAAACAACGGTGGACAAAAACTGAAGATATTTGAACAAAGAGTTATACTAGATAAACTTTCCTAGGTCTTTTTTTTATCTCTTTAATGAAATATGTTGTAATGATGAAAAGTATTTAAGCTCAAAAGTTTTATCAAGTCTTATCAAACAGTATAAATCTAGAGCATAGTAAACAGGGATCTCTTAAACATTAAAGATGGAATCAGGTGCCATGAGGATTAAGTATCCCTTACCGACCAGTCACACATGTCGTAAGCTCCTTGTTATGACCGGAAAATTTTGAAAAATCCGTAAATAATTTATTGTGTAATCATGGTCTAACAATAAGTATATGAAGAACCTCAATCAACATTTGACTTAATGATTGATAATGGACCAGATATCTGTGTTATAATAACGATCAGAGTCTGATTTTCAGGTTTCATCAATCTGTTTGTTGTAGTAGGGGCAATATGTATTCTTGATTGGCACAACTATTTCGACAAAGTAGTAAAATTATACTGTACTGTACTATGCTAAATACTTTATTGAGGTTAAAAAAATCTTTGTTGTTGTCCGTGTACACAGATTTTTTTATTAACAGAGAACACTTAATAAAGTAAGATATTACTTCATTTTTCTTAATGTGTTTTAAAAATTCAGTCGAAAGAGAAATCTCAGAAAATTTGAAGAAAGAAATGGTGAAAAGAAAAATGTCTTTGAATTATAAAATTAATTGCAAATGGGTCTTAAATACTGAAAACAAGACTATGCTATAAAGAAGTGACTTTATTTGGAAATGATAAAATAATAACAATGAAAATATATAATAAAAAGAGAAAAAAATCGATTTTTAGATGACTTATATAAGATGCATTCCACATTTGTCATTATATATATCATAGTAAAAAATAAAAAAAAAATGAGTTAAAATTAAAAATAAAAGCATAATGCAGTAACTTTATTGTAAGTAAGAAAATGGTTCAAAGTTGAAAAGTTTTGACAATATTATATTTTATTTTTGAAATTCACCCGATTAAAAAAAAGCGAATGATTTAAATTTTGAAAGAATAGAGGGTTGAAGGAAAATATAAAGATATGTTAAAGCGGAAGAACAAAATACAAAATTAGAAAAAATATCCTTAACAAATTCTGACATCTGTCCTCTGGTAAAGAATCCAAGATATAAAAAGTAAAAATAGCGGAGGAAGCGGCTGTCATCAGATAATGAAGGCTAAAATCGTTGGAATAAAGAGCCTTAAAAAGAAAGCAAAGGGAAGAGGTACTGACATAACTGCATTTTTAAATTTTCAGAGCTCCGTCTCTGGCTTTTTCAAGGAAAATTATATATCAAGCAATTTTTGAATTATAGGTAAGAAAGAAGAACATTCAAAGAATAAACACAAGGGATATTATTATTTTAAAAATGTAATACGTAAATTAAAAAAACGAATAGCATACATAGAAAATGTAAATAATTTCTCCAAAACATGGATACATTTAAAACAGAAAATGTTCACGAATGCAAATCTGCTGCATAAATGAAGAAAGTAACATTCTGATTGAATCTGTTATACATAATTATAAAAAAAATCGTCCCATGGAAATATTTAGATATATATTTCTTCTCCTAACTTAATAATTCTCGACAATAATTTTACTGTACAGGACATTTTATATCTAATTAAAAAAAATACCATAATTATATATAAATACACATTACGTCATTCACATGATTAGACAAGCTGTTGTGAGTCATTTTGTTTCAGTGACGATTCATTTTCCTTGCTTTCCTATTGGACATCTCCAGCATCCGTCTAATCACAGTCTTTGAACAACAAGTATTTATATCCCCACACTTTAAATATTTCATTTAACAAACATCCTCTAAATGAGTACGCAGTTGTGTGCTTCCTTGATATAAAGCTGTGAAGAGTACATTCCGAAAAAATATAACCATAATAAGTACAGCAATTTACAAACAATGTGCAAAGTACAATCTTAAGGATAAAAAACGATGTTTGTTTGGATTTTTTTGTAACTGGATGCTAGAAATCTTGAACTTTTGTGACAATAAATTGTGATACATCATAAACCCAGTTATATGTTATCTCTGAAGTAATACATCCATTTTCGAAAGACTGAAAAGTTTTGTTGAACTACAAACTACAGTTTCTTAAAACCTTTAAAAGAAGAGCTGCTTTTGGTACAATCTTACCCCCTTTTAAATAATTAAATGCAAAGTAAAAAATATCGTAACAAAACCAAATGTTTTTATTTTATTTTTATATTTAAAGTAATATATATGTATATTTCATTTTTTGGAAGATATTTCAAATTTATCAACAGATAAGCTAATTTTCCCACTAAAATTGCAATCAAATCTAAATAATCATGAATAAAAATATAAATGATTTGAAGTGCCAGATTCAATAAATTGGTCGGAAAACATCGAAAATATATGCATTTTTGTTTTCTGGAAGAAAATAGGCTAACTGTTATATATACTATAGGTACTAGTTTATAAAACACTATAATATACATGTATTTGCATAAAATTAAAAAAAAAGATATATTTGACCCCTTTAGAATTGAAAATGAGAGGATCGTCATACATAACTGACAGGTTTGAATACATATCGGATGTGGTAAACCCTTGTGTTTTTCAAAGAACGTTTACCAAACATACTACCTTGGGCCGTATTCCTACAAAATAAGTTTACGAAGAGGTTTAATACATTAATTAAGCTTTTATGGAGGTTAATGGATAATATTTAAATATTCAGGTAATCAGAAAACAGAGACAAAATTGATATCTTGCAGGACTTAGTAAAAGAGAACTTAAAGTCTTGAAGGTTTTGTGAGGAAAAAATATTTAAGAAGATTAAATTGAGGTCTATAAATTCATACCTGTGCTCGGCACTCAGGGCTGGTGTGTAGTGGTGACTCTCTTTCGTGCCAGCCTCTACTGCGTCATGCGACTCAGTTTATAGGTTCTTTTCCGAAGGACCCACGTCTCCACGTTCCGCAGTGGGATTCGAACCCGCGACGTAAGGATCAACTCCTTACTCCGCGAGAGCAAACGCTCTAAAAACTTCGCCATGGTGCCAACTCTCAGAATTCAAAATGGCAAATATTGATAGGGATAATAACTTAGGCACAAAGTTAATGAAAGACAGAAGAATTTGTAGCATTTGGAACATAGATTTTGTTAAAAATTCATTTACTGGTTGATTGACCATTTTCGCAGGTATGTTAAGGTTACAACCAAAAATTCTACTTGCCTGTATGATATGACGTCATAGTAAGCTATATGACGTGAAGTTTTAGAGATAACAATTTCTTAAAATCGATATTTGAGGTCGTAAATTGGATCAAAATATGCAGAGGCATAATATAAACGGAATTTTGTCCTTTCTGGGTCTCCGTATTTATCAGAGGGGTTAAATACCAAACCCGTGACGTCATAACTGATGATCATGCAGTA